CCCATCGCCGGCCTGTCTTGCCCCCCCCCCGTTGCCTTCTGAAGCCGTTGGGAGGGCCGGGTGGTGTGGGGCTTCTCCTTCGGCGGCGCAGCACCCATCGCTGGCCCATGTTTGCCCCCCCACCTGCCTTTTATATGGCTATCTGCGGGGAGGATGTGGGCCACGGCTGCAGGCAGGAGCACTCTCCCAGACCCTCTCTAGAGTTTGTTGCATTTATTTCCACCACGGGCCTTATTACTAGTAAATAAATAAATACAGATATTCTTTCACTTTAAAATCTGGTATCGTCCTAAGAAATTAGCTTATCACTGCTGACTAGATCTAGCTAATATACAAGTCCTATTTCTTACACTCGGGTATTATTTAGGCTTGGGTTTCATTACTTGTTTCCTAAGACTGATGCCGGTTGAAGTAGTGGGGGCTTAATTTACTACTGAATTTAGCCAAAGCCTTCAGCAAGTCCAGATCTTTTTGGATTAAGTTTTATTTATCAGTTTAGTTTAAACTGTCCCCCTTCTATTCAGCTATTAACGACCTAATGCATGGTGCTTCAGAAAAGCAGTCTTGGTCTGCTTTGCTTCTAGTTGCTTCACTATACTTCCTTTACTCTTGTGGCAATAACTGCCCAGTGTGGGGAAAATTCTTGAAAATGTTCATATGTGTATAAAAGGGCAATTATATATTACTTTTAGTGCATTTATCTCAGAAATATCTAGGGGGAAAGGATGACAAATGTAAAATGGTAGGCTTCACTTTCAAGACCTTGTCATTGATTTTGTTTCTTTGTACAGTCTGCTCATAGAAATTTTGAAGTTACATATACTTTTAACTGCAGTGAATGTTTAACGTAAAAACTACTCTCATTACAGGCTGCTACTTTACTCTTGCAACTAAGACAAAAGTGGCATAGTTTATTTCTACGGCGTATGAGAGCGCCTTCAAAGCCCTGGTCTCAAGTTGACGAGGCAACTATACGAGCCATCATCGCAGTCTTAAGTACTGAAGAACAGTCTGCGGGTTTACAGCAACCTTCAGGAATTGGGCAGAGACCAAGACCTATGTCATCTGAAGAACTTCCTGTAGCATCTTCATGGAGATCAAACACTAGCAGAAAAAGCTCAGCAGAAGCAGAATTTGCAGATGACTCTTTTAATGCTGAAAGGTCAGTATATTGTAACGTTTAGTTGTAGTGTCCAAAATTACAGCTATCCTGTAGAGAGCTCATTTTCTGCACACAGAATGCATAGAATGCATGCATGTGTTTCTAGTAGGATTTATACAATGAGCAGGTTACAGTATCAAGAAGGCAGCAGTGGCCTTTTTCTACAAAGAGCTTCAGTAGCAATAAGACCACTGAAGTTACCAACTGGCCTGGTGTCTCCTCCATGAACCCCTGCAACAGCTTCCTTCTCATGCAAAGCGTATTCCTGTTTCTGAATGGTGAATAGCCTTACAATGGGACTTAGGTTGCCCATTGTGCTTTATAATATTCTGCAGGTATCCCGTCCGGGCCCAGCGCTTTCCCCATATTTTGCTTTTGTATAGCTTCCGTAATTTCCATAATGGAGTCATTAAGACATTTCCTGTTCTCTTCAGATAGTATAGGAAGCTCCTGTTTTTGCAGATATTGTTTTTGGTTTTCCCTTGGGATTTCCACTTCCCTGTATAACTGCTTGTAAAAAGATTGCACAATTTTCTTTAGTTCTTCCTTCTGGAACTTCTCTTTCTTATCACCATCATACAAGGAGTGGATCAATCTCTTTTCTCTTTACTTTCTAAGTTTATAGGCTAACCATCACCTCGTGTGCAGTTGGGATTTGGAAGCACCAAATAGTGATACATTTGGAACAGTTAGGAATAATTCTGAATCTGAATTTTATCAATCCAAATATTTGAAATAATTCATAATAATCAGAATCCCATTGACGTTTGTAGAAAGTAGGCTAGCCTGTTTGTGAGACGAGGAAAGTGAAACCTTTTCTTCAGACAGCTTGCACTGACTTCTTGAGAAAGAAAAAGGAACCATTTCCCAGACAGCCTGGCACCAAAGATGGTAGGGACAGATAGCTCAGTGTCCCCAGTTTGGTGTAGTGGTTAAGAGTGGCGAACTCTAATCTAGAGAACTGGGTTTGATTCCCCACTTCTCCACATGAGGCCAGCTGGGTGACCTTGGATCAGTCACAGTTCTCTCAGAGCAGTTCTCTCAGGAGCAGTTCTCTCAGAGCTCTCTCAGCCCCACCTACCTCACAGGGTGTCTGTTGTGGGGAGAGAAAGGGAAGGTGATTGTAAGCCACTCCGAGTGAAGGGCAGTGTATAAATCCAGCTCTTCTGCTTCTTCTTCCTATGATTTGAGTTCCCATGGGGGGGGGATGGTGTAAGACCTAACCCTGTGAGCAATGTCTGTCTGCACTTATGAAATCCTGAAAAAAGGCACAGACACCCGAGGTATTTTCACATTGGTTCTTTTCAACTGAAAGTCAGGCAAAGTTGAGTATATAATTACCCTGTTGTCCCCTGACTATTTGCTGTTCTGCATGCTGAAACAGTCTTCTCTGTGTCCCTTTCGAAGCACCTCAACCTACAGTTGATCCCTACTTCTCTGTGCATATTAGGGGGAAAGATAGATCAAGTAGATTGTAGAATAATGGGGAAAATTTATATTAAGTTTAGGTTTCCTTTGGCGGGATATCAGGCATAAAGATAAGGTTTGTTAGAGATTATTTAGATTGTATTTGGATAATCAGTTTTGTGTCTGTGTGGTTTTCATTTTTATTTTTGGCATATGTGTTCTGCTGCAGCAGAATCAAGATACAGTTGTTTTGGAGGGAGAGTCCGCCAGCAGTGTGAATGTGGAGATGGTAGAGGAAGTTGGTGCATAGGGAAGGCTGCAGGAACATTGCTGGTCCTCCCTGAGGTGCCCTTTAAGTAAGAGAGAATTACACTTTCCAGCCCACAGTGCGGGGCATGCCATGCTTCAGTCTGCTGCCTCCTCCTGCTGTCCCTTCCCTTCTTCCAGCTGCTATTCCAGGACTGTACTCAGTCACTCAGTGGTGCTGTGACTAGTGCTGTTGGAAAGTTCTCAGCTGCCTGTCTGTCTGTGTGTTGCTCCAATTTCTAGAAGACTGAAGGTCAGTTTGAAAAAATAGATGGCACATTAAGGAAATGTAAAAACAAAGTTAGTTCAAGTACTGTTGGTCAACACAGCTACCTCTTTCTCAAAGAAGGTTAAAATGTCTTCCTTAAAGAGAAAAAACCCCAAGAAGGCTAACTGAAAACACAAGCTTCAGTACTTCTAAATAGTAGTAACCATTATGCATATTGCACACACACATGCACATACACACTTATTTGCTTGATTATAAATCACAGTGCTAAGTTGCAAACAGCTGCTGTGCATTCTGTGATAATAAATAATTTGCCTAACAACAAGCTAGCCCAATTATACTTTGCTCATTATTACTTTGCTCATATTAAAATATTTGGCTATATTTATTTGATTTTTTTCTGCTTTCATTGTGTGGAGTTCTTTCTATTTTCTTTTTAATTATTATTTATAGCAAGGAAAATACACATGGCTATAGAGTTTAGAAACTTTGTATTCAAGTGTTGAGTAAACAATACCCATTTCTTTTCTCTTACAATTTTGTAGAGTTCTAATGAAATCTGCATCTCCTGCATTTCAACAACCACTGAAATACAAAGAAAGAAGTGTTCTGCACTCCAAACGTAGTACGGATGACAGGTCAGACCAGTCATCTGTGAAATCCACAGACAGTAACAGCTACCCTAGCCCTTGTGCCAGCCCTTCTCCTCCGTCATCGGGGAAGGTACCGTACTTATATGAATCAGTCTATTAAATCTCTTTTAAAATTGATGAATACATACTGAGATTAATTTTTTTGTATTTTTGGGATAATAATAATAATAATACCTTTTGATTTATTGATCGCTCATCCTGCAGAGCTGCTGGCTCTGAGCGATTTACAGTTACACAAGTTTTCACACGGGACTAACAATGAATCATAGGGTAAGGGAGGACAACATATAATTCTTTAAATCGCACACTACCAACATACATGGAAGTTTAAATTCATGGACCAGCAATATTTGTGAAGATTTGTTTTGGTATCATCACATTTTCTGGAGATCTCACTTTTATGCTCTTCTGGATAAAATATACTATATTTACTCAAAAGGAAGATGTTTTTGAAGATGATACCCCTTCTTAAAAAAGAGAAGCCAGTACATAGAAGCAGATGATCCTGAATTTAAGATGCTCCCTCCCGAAGAGGTCATCAGCTAGAGATGCCCCTCTCCCACCAGCTTCTGTTTCCTCCTTCCAGCCCCATGGTGGTGACCTTTGCAGGGCTCAGCGCCTGTTGATACCCCTGGCAGTACCCCAGGGGTTGATGGATGGAGGCAAGGTGAAGTTCTGCTTCTCCCTCCTCCCTAATGTCTCTAGTCCCTGTGGGTCCTTTCCTTGTCTCTGCTTTGCACAGCACAAGTCTTTTTTCACTCCTCCTGTTTCCTTCTTGACTTCCTCATAGTCCACCCAGTTCAGGGAAGGCCTCTCCTTACACAAGGCCACTGCTTCCAGCCTCCTCCCCAGCTGACATAGGTTTTGAATGGCTCAACCACAAAACATGGCACGCGAGAGGGCACCTGACAGCAATTCCAGCCTGCGGGATCCAGATAGTGACAGGCACATGACTTGTTTCTCCCTGTGGGCTGTCGAATTAGCACTGCCACTCGCAGCAGACCCCTGCCACTAATAGTATGAGAATGTAGAAGAGAAAACTACTGTATAATATGCCGCTGCCACTGTCACTATGCAAAGACCTAATAAATCAGTCATTTATATGAAAAGACTTTTGTGTTATATATTCTTGAAAACTTACAATTATAGAGTTGACACAAACAATACTTCAAAATACACATCAACACTGTTACATCATTCATAATACTATAACAATACAGATGTCCGCAATACAGGAGCCAGATCTAAACAATGCCTGCAGTTGGCAAAGTGAGGTCATGAACAATTGTTTCCAAAGACCTCAATTACAAATAAAGTGACAGCAGAAGGCAGAAAGGATAGGGTTATTCGGTTGATTCTGTGCTGCAGTTGTGACCAAATTCCCAAGCTGCATATCAAAATGCAGCTGATTGATTGCAGCATCCAGTCCTTTCTGAATTTTCAGTGAATCTGTTCAAATTATACTCCCTTTCCAGTTATTGAGCAACCTTCTGCAAGAATACTGTGGCTTTGTTTGATATTTTACAAGTGGCTTATATAATGTTTTGCATGTGCCCAAACATTATAAAGGGAATCTGCTTTGCAGGGTTCCAAGCCTCCTTCTCCAAGACCAAATATGCCAGTTCGGTACTTTATTATGAAAAGCAGCAACTTAAGAAACCTTGAGATTTCACAACAAAAAGGGATTTGGTCTACAACTCCAAGTAACGAACGGAAACTGAATCGCGCCTTTTGGGAAAGCAGTGTTGTTTACTTGATATTTTCTGTTCAGGGATCAGGACACTTTCAGGTGAGAATTCTATGTACTGTAGTGCAAGGTTGTTTATTCAGCCTGCTATGTTAGCAGCAGAAAATCCAGATACCATTAGCAGAATATATTACAGAAATCCTGAATGGTTGCTTTTTTCTCTTGCTCTTCATCCTGCAAAGGTAGCATGTTTTGAAGGAGGCTTAAGGGAGATGTGGGAGCATATTTAGATGTAGAGTTTCTGAAGTGGTAAAGTCCTGGAAAGACTTTATCAGATGCTTTTTAATGAAAATTTGCATTATCTTTTAGACTGTAGAGCTGGAGATATTTTATCCTTGCTGATACAGGAAAGGCTAAAATGCAGATAACCATCAGTGAAAGTGCTGGAGGCTTTTGAGATGGGAATTAAAAGGATAAGCAGTTAAAGCAAAAAAGAATTAAAGCTCGAATATGTTGTGATCTTATTCCAACTCCCTGTTGTTAATCCTCTTTGCTGTAAGGATTGCCCTTATAAATCTTTACAAGTAGCATGTTTACCTACAAAGAGAGAATAAGAATGCACACAGGTCTGGGTTGAAAAAGTTGATGAGTTTATTCCTTACAGCTTCCAAAAATTTGGCATTTATTCAAATGAATGCACTGTTGTGCAGTATAGGCAATGCCTATGTGTGTTCCTGATGTAACTGCTCAGTCCTGGTGCTGGATTACCGAAGAAGTTATATGGCTTAAAAATTCTCTGAACTGCCTGCTGCTATTATCAGCCTGGAGATGTATCTGATCTCCAGTAATTCCCATGTTGAACTGTCCTATGAGCCACTTAGGAACAACAACACACACCCCCCCCCATTTTTGCAGGGAGAATACTGCCTTCTTCCCTGACTATGGTCCCTCCAGATGACGAAGCACCAGTTGTGATTATAATATCTAAATGAATTCGTATGATAATCAGCTGTATACCGGAAGAGGAATCGTTAGTAAAATTATTTCTTCCTCAGCAAATTTGAAAGTTCAGTAAAATTCCTCCTCTGCCTCATCAACAAGCAGCCAATAGAAATTTTTCAAAGGCCTAGCCAACATTACATGATACATATTGCTTTGCCTTTCTTTTCTCAATTGCAAAACACAAGTGGTCTGTGAGGGATTTTGCTTTGCACTGAGATACATGCTAAGCACCTTTATAATGAACATTAGAATTAGAAATTTACTTGAAGTTGTGTAGATTTTCAGTCTTTTTTAAAACTATGTTACAGGGTTTTGCTCGAATGTCTTCAGAGATAGGACGTGAGAAAAGTCAGGACTGGGGATCTACTGGTTTAGGAGGAGTATTTAAGGTGGAATGGATCCGAAAGGAGAGTCTTCCCTTTCAGTTTGCACATCATTTGCTCAACCCTTGGAATGACAACAAGAAGGTACAAATAAGCCGAGATGGCCAGGTATGTTGCTTTTTAGAGACGGTATGTTTAAAAGGGTATGATCAAGGCCAGATTTCTGGTTCCTTCACTCTTCAATGTAAGTTCTGTTTTTCAAAGTTATTATTTATCACACCGCTGGAGGTATTAATGTTAAGGAAGAACCTTCATTTTAGAGTGAAAGAGGAGATATCTCTTGCAGATACATGGGAGACAATCCCTGTCAGATCAGATTGTCTCAGCTGTGTTGTTAATACTGTTTTCAGCAGCTGCAAAAGCCTTTTTTCTATTTTGACTTTTTCACCTCTGGCGTAGGAACTGGAACCTCAGGTTGGTGAACAGTTGCTACAGCTATGGGACCGTATTCCTTTGGGGGAGAGAAACACAGCTGATTGAACATACAGCGATAGATCTGAGGTATGCTTACTCCTGAGAAGTGTGGATAGGCAAAATTTTCAAATTCCTATGAAAATATCCTTTCCACTACTAATTTTTTGTCATGCAAGTATTATGGATGAAGTAATACCTGCCCCTAAGCTGTATATAATGAAGGAAAGGTTGGCTCTATGCATGACCACTAGTCTTTATGGTTAGAAGGTGTAGATGTAGAACTGCACATAGAGCATCACAGCGGTAGGAATGAAAGGAGGAGCAAAAGAATAAACAATTAAGTCTGAGCGTGAGTAACCATTCCAATATTTGTTTGCAGTTTCATGTGCAAATAGAATAAGTTTAATTCACATTGACAAGCACTTGAGGAAACCTCATTGCCATTTATTAGCCTAAAGAAGGCTACTTTATGCCTTGCTTTTTGGCAAAAGAAAGACAATTTTAACTACTTTGTATTTCTCCTCCATAGGTGCTGCTCATGTGAAACATGCAACCTGCTAAAATCACCAGTGCACTACAAGAGAGAAATGTAACTAAATGGATTCTGGGATTCAGTGGCATTCTTCCAGTACAGGCTGCATTTGATGCTGTGTGCTTGTTTGAAGGAAAACTTGCAGCCTGCTTTTATTTTCAGTGAGATGTTTGTTCTTAATGCTTCATATGATGTTTCAGATATTAAATGGAGGACACCGAAGCAGACTGAAAGTATTAGTGAACTTTGAATAGCGGTGTAACTATTTAATATTCCAGAAGAAGGAACTGGGATTAGTAACAATAAGTAGTCTGAATTAGAACCTGTTCAGACTATAAAAGACATGCAGTTTTTTCAGGACTGCTTCTGCTACTAGAATAAAACAATGAGTGAAACATTACAGTGGACGGAGCCGCTTCCCCTCAGATTAAATCCAGTTAAAATTGTCACATGATGAGTGTGCCTTCTGTCAGAAAGCTGAGCTCAAGATGTTTAGTTTTAACCATATTCTTTGTCATTATGTACTCTTAGAAATGGGCATCAACTTCTAATACTGACTTAGTAATAAGTGAACTCTGTAACATTGAAAGAATGGGCATTTTTATGCAACCATTTGGCATAGCCCTCACCATACTCTGCCTCCAGAACGGACACTGGTGTTCCCTCTGCCACTTTTTGAGTATGTTGTTTTTCTTTACCATTTCCCTATTTCTTCTGACTTCATTTTTTACAAATTTTGTCCTTTGCACTTTCTGCATATTTTTGATTTCGTGATGTCTTGTCCTTTATTCGTTCTGACATTTTATATGTTTTCTAGAAGTGTGGTCTAAATTGCTGTTCACCAAGAAGAAAGGAGAAATGCCACATTGAACTTGAAATAGAAGGGACTGTCTCTGTGTATGTTTTTTTCCTACTGCACTCTGAGTAGGAGGGATTGTTTCAGAGGTACAGACATAATCATTGGCAGTCTTCAAAGCTAGTAATATAAAGATGCCAGCTCTTTCCTGTAAACTGCTCAGTGAGAGGAGAAACCATTATAAATGGTCTTAGTAGGAGCAAGGGGGAAATGCTCTTATTCTCTGAGGAGTTTGTTAGTATTTCAGTAAAGATTCTGGACTTGAATTAATTGGCTTTGTCACTTCAGTGTTTTTAATATTTTTATGTTCAGATGAGTTGCTGTTGTACATCCATGTAGCTATCTCTTGTTAAATTTGACTAACAATGATCTTACAGTCATGTCTTGAATTTACGTGTTTACAGTTTGGAAATAAGGTGTTTCTAGAATAAAATTGTTTTGCTTTTACTCTAGTGTGTCTGGAGCAATTTGTCACTGCGCTGCAGAGGGCTGGCCTTCATAGTCAAGAAGACTACTGTATTGACCTAGGGTTTGTTCTCATTCTCAGTAGTTAGTATACAGCAACAGTTATTGTTCTCCTGTCGGCATCATTGGAAGAACATGTTTCAGTAAAAGATATATAATACAGCTTAACAGAGGTACAAATAGGCAGGAATATTGTCTTGCATGTTACCTCTTAAACGTATTAAAGGTTAGAATTCAGATGCAGTTAAACTAGGATATTAAGGACTGATAAATGTCATATTGCTTTGCCATTGGTTGGTAGTTTCCAAAGCACTAATAATATTAATTTTCAAAGCTTTTAAAAAGTTTTAGCATGATAGTATGTGTGTTTCTAAATAAAACTGTACAGAGAGGGATGCTTTAGTCCTGTGCAGCTTATGTAATGTCCAAAGTGAAATAATTTTCCAGGGGTGTGCCAGTAATAAGATATATTTTTTGTAACAAGATTTTTTAAATTTGTAATATTTTAAATTTGTAATAAGTCTGACACCTTTCTGATCCTATGCAGAATCAGGCATGCAAGGCCATTAAGTAAGACTTGGCAGGTAGAGAGAAAGCAGAAATTAGACATAGAAAGCAGAATTATAAAGGGTAAAGGAAAGAAGAAAGTAAACAGACATGATATGTGATTTTATGTTGAGTTTGGGATGACCCAGCACAAAAATCGTGAGATTCATGCTTTGGAACTACATTTTTGTGTCATGGCAGTACTACAAAGTGGTAGATGCATGATTGTTGTGATCTTGTCTATAAACTAAGACATTATCTACAATATAATGGTGTTTTTATTTTGTTTCATTGTATATAATGTCTACTCGGTCACTGTTGTCTACATGTTTCTTCACTTTCTCAAAGAACTCCAAAAGGTTGGTGACTTTACTTTGCAGAAATGATCAGGCATTGCAGAAGCCATGCTGCTTTTCCCTCAGCAGGCTTTGTCCCTTTATGTGCCTAACAATTCTATCTCTGATTGCAGTTTCTACTAAATTGCCTGGGACAGATGTTAGGCTGACTAGCTTGTAATATCCTGGTTCCGCTCTGGATCCCTTTTTAAAAATTGGCGTAACATTTGCTACTCTCCAGTTCTGGTAGAGCAGCTGAATTTAGTGATAAGTTACATATATGGGCTAATAGATCAAGTATCTCACATCTGAGTTCCTTAAGAACTCTTGGGATGTATGCTATCAGGATCTGGAGACTTATCAGTTTTTAATTTCCTCAGTAGGCCTAGAACTTCATTTCTGGTCACCTCAATTTGGCTTAGTTCTTCAGACTCCTTTCCTGAAAATAGAGGCTGTGGCATGAGTACATGCCCCACACTTTCCACAGTGAACACAAAAGCAAAAAAGTAATTGAATTTCTCTGCCATCTTCCCTTAGCAATCCCTTTATTCCTTTGTCAACCCAAAGCCGCACTGCTTCTTTGGCTGGTTTCCTGCTCCGGATACATTTTAAAAACATTTATTGCTTGTCTTGATGCATTTAGCAACCCGCTCCTCAAAATTTCTTTTCATGCCTAATTATTGACTTACATTTCTTTTGCCAGAACCTGTGGTCCCTCCTGTTCAATTCATTGGGGCAGAGCTTCCACTTTTTAAAAGAAGCGTCTTTACTTTTTATAGTTTCCTTGACTTTTGTTGTTAGCTATGCAGGCCTTCGTTTAGACTTGGCAGTGCCTTTCCTAACCTGTGGAATGCATTCTATTTGGGATTCAATTAGTGTGGTCTTAAATAGCTTCCAAGCATCCTCTAGGGATTTGACTCTCTTGTGTTTCCCCTTCAGCTTTCTTTTTACTATACCCCTCATTTCTGCAAAGTTCCCTCTTTTGAAATCAAATGTTACAGTTTTGGACATAGGTAACTTTCCATTGACCTGAATGCTGAACTTAATAGCATTGTGGTCACTGTTCCCAATTGGTGCAACAACCTCTATTTTTTTCACCAGGTCTTGAGGCCCTCTCAGAACCAAGTCCAAGATCACTACCCCTCTGGACGGCTCTGTGACCAACTGTTCTTCCGCAGAGTCATTTATGATGTCTAGGAATGTCTCATCTAGCCTCAGCTGCTTGCTGCTGTTCAATGACAGCCACCCTACCAAAGGCAGTGTTGTGTAACTGTTACAGTCTCTGACTAGGAGCTGGGAGACCCAAGTTTGAATCTTGCCATGCAATCTTACTTAGTGATCTTGAGCCAATCACACACTTTCTGCCTAATCTACCACATAGGAGAGATAGATCCAGATGGTCAGCCGTGTTGGTCTGAAGCAGTAGAACAAATTTATTGGTTCCTAAGTGTCAGAGGGTGTTGTATGAACCCACTACAATTACTATTGCCATTTTGTATGCCTCATTCCTGACTCAAAGAATCTAAGATGACTTCACCTTGCTCTGATCAATAAAGCTGAACCTGTTTAAGGACTTGCTGTTGATGCTGAGTTATTGAAGTACCTGACAGAGAGTCAGGAATCCAGCTCTCCTCTACCCCTATCATTGCAAAGATGAGTGGTGACGAAGAGGAACAACTGACACCAGAGGAACCAGAGTACAGTCCTGCCCCACTAGTCTCATGTGTAAACCCCAACCGGGAAAGCCTCCGGGACTATTGAAACCTCTGCTGACTCCTACCTGACCGTGGGAAGTTGTGTCTATGGACTTAATCATGGATTTGTCCCCTAGCGGGGGAAAAACAGTTATTTTGGTGGTTGTGGACATGTTTTCTAAGCAAGCACATTTTTTCCCTCTGAAACAATTGCCTACTGCCAACCGGTTGGCTAAGTTGTTTATTCATAATATTGTCAAACTCCATTTGATCCCAAAGAAGGTGGTCTCCGACAGGGGGTCTCAATTCGTGGGTAAGTTCTGGGGTGAATTGCTGCAGGCCCTTGGAGTTGAACAGGCCCTCAGCAGCGCCTACCACCCAGTAACTGATGACCAAACTGAACGGGTTAATCAAACCCTTGAACAAATCTTGTGTTGCTTCACTAATTTTCAACAGGATGACTGGGTTGAGTTTCTCCTGTACGCAGAATATTGCTACAATAACGCAGTTCATTCATCCACAGGGGTCTCCCCATTTCAAGCGGTGCATGGCTATGAAGGCTCCCCCCTTCCCTGGTTGCCTATGGATGCTCTGGGGGAGGAGGGGAGCATTGAGGACTGGTGGCGCCAAGTTAAAAATGCCTGGCCGCTCCTACAGCAGACATTGGACAAAGCCAAGGCTTCTTATAAAGCCCAGGCACACTGTAAACGTCTCCTGGCTTGGGAGGTGCAAGTTGGGGACAGCGTGTACGTCTCCACTAAGAACTTAAGACTCTTGCAACCTAGCCGTAAATTGGGTTGGAAATTCATAGGTCCTTTCACGGTTGTGCGAAAAATTAATGACGTCACTTTTGAACTGGACCTTCCTAAGACATTTAAACATGTCCATCTTGTATTTCATTTTTCTCTCCTCAGGAAAGATCCGGGGCTGAATGTCTGGCGCCCAGCCCAGGCCCACCCCACCCCCCACGTGATGGTGTATGGACAACCACATTTTGAAGTTGCCCAGATCTTGGACTCTTGCCTTAAACATAACCGCTTGTATTATCTTGTAGAATGGGTAGATTTTGGCCCTGAACACAGGGAATGGGTTAAAGCTTCTGATGTGCGGGCTCCTCGCTTGGTCTGCCTCTTTCACTCTTGCTTCCCTGACAAGCGGGGGCAACAGTGGGAGAGATTCTAGGGTCCTGGCCCCACTGATGTGTTGGGAAAATTGGCAAAAATACTTAGATATTCAGAGTTTTCAATGGATCTTTGCTTCACTGGAAGGAGCCAAAAAAAGGGGGGGAGAAGCCAGTGTACAATGTAAGAACCAAAAAAAAGAACACCACTAGGCAAAAACAACTTACAAGCAAATAAGCAAGTATATAATGATCACATAAGCATAACAGCAAGTGTAATGTAAATCAAATAAGCAAAGTAACAAGTATGATATAATAAATGTAAATCAAATAAGCATAACAACAAGTATGATATAAATCAATAGGCCAAAGTGCAAAGATAATAGAAATAGTCAGAGTCTTCTCTAGCATAGAGGCAATATCAAAGTCCAAATTGGAATGCCAATCATCAAATTTTCTGAGCCATCAAAAGCTTCTGAGCCATCAAAAGCCGACGCGTAATCCGGATGCCTGAAGCCGCGTTTCGAATTGTTCTTATTCAAGTATGGCTGTAATGGGACAAACATTGGCTTCTCTTGTGGTCTTATGTTCTTAGAAGCTAAAATGACCAAACATAATGGTTCCATTATGAGAAGACAAGAGTCACTGGAAAAGACAATAATGCTAGGAAAACTTGAAGGCAGTAGGAAAAGAAGACCCATCTTGAGATGGATTGACTCAAGGAACCATGGCCCTCAGTTTGCAAGACCTAAGCATGACTATTAATGATAGGACATTTTGGAGGCCATTAATTCACAGGGTCATCAAGTCAGAAGCGATTTGACAGCATTTAACACACACATACAGAGAACATGTTCCATGAAAAGACAGCTCTGAAACCAAGTTGGATAGGACAGAACACGATGCAATAAAGATCAAATAACTCCGCTTTAAAAGGAATGCTTGAAAGCCAGCTGTGAGTAAAATGTGCAGACACAGCAAGACTGTGCTGCTTTAAAAAGTTTATAAAGCTGATAGGCTGTGAGGAAAGATTTAAAATGGAA